ATGTATTTGTTTGGAAAAGAACCCACTCTTTTGTGAAATTAAGAGGTTTATAGTTGAAAATTGTAAATTTAGAAATATCAATATGTGATTTATATTTAGTTTTTTTTAAGCATTTGTTTCTTAACAATTACAGCAGATGCAAATAATGTTCTGAGAGATAATCGAAAAACAATGGCCATTGAATAACATTTTTTGATAGTAGAAATAAAAGTTTTAAAAACGTTATTTCACTATCTAACAAACTAGAGGAATGACATACAGTATACAGTACTTATGATACATACTCCAAGTATTGAAATACACGCCATCGTGTTGGGATTCAATATTTCGACATTAATTATGTCATCATCATCCTGATGATGACATAATTAATTCAATATTTCGACATTAATTATGTCATCATCATCCTGATGATGACATAATTAATTCAATATTTCGACATTATTTATGTCATCATCATCCTGATGATGACATAATTAATGTCGAAATATTGAATCCCAACACGATGGCGTGTATTTCAATACTTGGAGTATGTATTATACTTTCTTATCTGAGATTAATCAGTGGATCTTTCGGATTATACAGTACTTCCACTACCAAAATATGCAACTCATAGATAACCACAAACTTTACTTTTGTTAAATATCAAATGAATTAACTTTACATGTTATAAACAATGCAAATAAACAGTAGTTAAAGCATGTGGATCAATTGTGTGTTTGAATCACAAGTTCATGTATGGGAAAAGGGAGAGGCTTACTTTCTCGCAAACTTAGCAATAAATTGTCTGCTTAGAGTTTATTCAAAGAAGTATTGTTTTTGGTAAACTGAATAATTAGGAATACATTTATTTAAGCAACTAATTTAGTTGCATACTTGGTTTTTACTCATCACTAACTAAATCCAAGTGCCTATTTACTGGCTTAGAATTATATATAGTTATGTATGGCAATTATGCTAAGAATTAAAATGGCGTGCGATTGTGAGGGTAGGGTGATTATGGTAGGATTAAGTGGTATTGCTAAATCCCACAAACCTCACAAAACACACTGTAGAAAATCAAACAATTCAATTGTGATTGACTGACTTGGTATATCAATAATTATGATTGTAGAACTCTCTTTATTCTTAAAAAAAAAATAATAATAATTTGATGTTCATACTAACCCACTGTTTGTGGGGTTTACCTATACACAGATTGAATTACTGGAAAATTGTGATTCCGCTTCCGTGAAATAGGCCACAAGTAAATTATTTTAGTATTAATAAATGCATGATTATTTGATTTATTGATTATGTTGTTGCTATTTTTTAACATTTAAATGGAAAAAAAAATAAAAAGTGTAATTCATGGATTTTTATTTATCTTTGAATATTTTATCATTGAATATTAATTCTTGCAAAAAGTAAAATGTAAATGGCAATTTGTTTGAAGTTAAATTCCTTTTAAAAACTAAGTTATTTAAGATAAAAAAAATGCATATATTGACTCAAGAAAATCAGTTTTAATACAGAATTTGATTATTGGGGAGATTCCTTTTAAAAATTAAATTAGTTAAGATAAAAAAATGCATATAATGACTCAAGAAAATCAGTTTTAATTCAGAATTTGATTATTGGGGCCATTTTTACCTACCTGTCATATGGGGCCATTTTTACAGGGGCCATTTTTTCCGGGGCCATTATTTCCGGGGCCATTTTTTTCGGGACCATTCTTACCGTACACCGGCAAAGACAAGCCAAACCAGTCACTCGTCGCAAAAATCAATTTTGAGTTATTAATACAGTTTTAGAGAGTAAAATAATAGCTATAAAATGGTAAAAAAATCATTCAAATCGGATATTTCCTTATGAAGTTACAAGCATTTGAACACACAGCTGTTTAAAGAACAATATATGAGAAATCAGCCTTCAAAGTTTATGATTTCAGGCATTTCTCATGCAAAAACTATCTTTAAATCCTTAAAAAGTGTTGTTTTAACATTGAAAATGGGGAAAATAACAACATAGAATGATGTGTACATATATAAAGGTTAGTTTAGTGCAATAACATAGATTTTTAAAAATTTGACATTCCAGCTTGTTTTGGCCATTTTCTCAGAAACACAATTTGCGACAAGTGACTGGTTTGGCTTGTCTTTGCCACATATCTTAAAACAGAAAATAGTACCTAGAACTTTTTGTCAGGGCCTTGAACCCACTGTGAGGGACCATGGAGCTCTCATTCACCACCATTAGTTCCATGCGAAAAAAAGGATTAAATACTAATAGTAATTGAATTGAATGCAATTCAATCTTTTATTTCCTTTTCATAAACCAATACAGTATAACAAACAAAAGCAAGCAAGGGGGGGGGGGAACTTATAAGGTTAATGTATGTTAATACTGTATTATAAAATGCGATTGCCTTTTAATAAATATTATTTAAATATCCTCCTACCATCGGAAATATTGTGAGTGAATCATAGGTTACTGTAACTAAAGTGCGTACAAAAACACAACTCTTCCCCCTTTCAGCTTATTGTTCATAATAATTGAAAACTATAAGCATTGATCTTGTTAGTGGCTGAGTAAATTCCATTTTTCATCTGGTTTGGGGAGGGAGTTTATCATGTGTGTATTTATTCAACTTTGTTCTTTATGTTTTTTTTTTTAGGCCCTTAATGAAGCTACGCTTTTACTTGTGTCATTAAAAGAGACAGAGGAACAAACTTTGTTGTCGTTTTTAGAAACAAAGTTCTTACCAGCTCATCTTCCAAGTCAGAAAGTATTGGTAAGTTATTCCCGATTTCAAAGGGATCGTACCTGTAAAGAAGAAAATAATAGCATAAACTTTCTTTATTGATATTTATTTTATTGGCTATTTGATTGATTGATTGATTTATTTATTCATTTGGCGTCATTGTGCAAACGCCCCCCAGGATGAAAATTCTTAAAAATTGAAATGTATAAAATATATACTTCTAAGTATTAAAGATAACATACCGTACTCGCGCAAATAAGCGCCCCGTTTGAATAACCGCCCCCTCAATAATATCTTAAGATTTTCTTTTTAACAAGGCAATAATCCAATCAATCCTGGGACTGTGGTTGTTGGCATGATTTAAGCTGCAGAATGGAAGCACATTCTTCTTAGGTCAATATCAAAATGAGGATATTTCTCTTGGACAGGTGAGAGCTCCGATCCCTGGACAGACAGTATATTTCCAACTTTACTCTTTTTACATATTTGTTTATGCCTAGTCCTACTCCTCTTTTTCTTTTTCCGATCGACCTTTAGCACATTCTCATCTGAGTTTTCAAGAAACCAGAGCCTTGCAGGCGTCAACGTTCCTATGCATGACACATGACTTTTAGAAGTATATATACG